TTTTATTAATTAAGTCACCAATTTTATCCCTAAATTAGCATATAGTTGTGCTTAAGCCCCAATTATGCCACATGATCATATAAAGCAACATTTTATCTCATAATTAATCATCAACAATAATAGTCCGTTGTTCTGTGAGTTTTCCAGGCCCCTCGTGTCCGTGAGCATGACTGATATACCAGTTTTACACTCTGCAGAGGTTGTACACTTTCACCGTGAGTCGTGATTTACCCTTTCACCCGAGGTAGCTAATCTCTTGACTCACTATTAAGGAAGGTCGGCAGGGTTCACTATGAAGTCTTTCAAAGGTTTCCCTAACAAGTTAGTGGCCACTAGGTTTCTGTGGCCTGCGAATGTAGAGCTCCCCTTTCCGAAGGCACACTCCACATAGGCTATACGTTTAAGAACAGAGGCCGCACTATAGCCAACCTGGAACACACCCCTTTTGTGCCTTTCGGTAACCACTAACAAGCTAGAAAAGATCCTACTATTGAGCTAAAGCCAGAGCCATGTGGCACTCCCGGTTGTACTGTATGTCCTAGCTTTTGTCGACAGATAAGTTCTTAGGGAGGGCCAAGAGCATCATGATAAAACTAGAGCTCTCTCGCCCTATGTTCAAGTTGCTAAAAAGCAAGTTTTAATATGTGTTGCATATAACCATTAGATCTTGTATAATTAAATTGAGTGCTAGCAAACTACCCATAAGCAAGTATAACCCATCGGTAACAAGGTACAAGGTAACAAGTAACTAGGATGTCCTTACGGGTAACAAATTGACACATGCATATGACTAATTAATTAATTGTAAATAGGACATCAAGGAAGATCCCATGATATACTTGCCTTGTTCAAAATAGTGCTGCTAGTCCTGGTCTTCAAAATACTGCTCCAGATCACCAACGAATTGCTCACCATCTATACTCGATCAAATTAAAGCACCACACAAGCATTCAGAGCCAATCATGCATAACAAACAAGAACTATAATTAGAGCAATACACCAATAGTGAGAAAACATGTTTAAAAAGCTTATAAATCTAATCTAAATGTTGCTACGATCACATAGACACAAATTGCACTCAAACCGGATTGAAAACGGGTAAGATATGATGAAAATAGGTTATGGATGGAAAATTCATAATGAATGCAAACTATTTTCGTATTATAAATAAATCTAAATCATATTCAAAACGCTACCAAGGACAGCAGGCAGGATTAAGAAAGAACCGAGGGGCTCTTTAGCAAAAACACCCACGAAGGGGTATTGGTGAATCTAGGCCGTTGGATCGAAAAGGGGTGGCTCAAATTAGATGAAACGGAGGGGGAAAGGGATGAGCCAGCCGGAGAAGAATCTAGCGCGGCGGACCTCCATTGCCGGCGGCAAGGAAGCTCGCTGGCGCGCACAAAAACGGCCCTAGAGGCCACGATTAGACTCTAGAATGGCACGGGATGACAGAGGGAATGAAGGCGAACTCACCACGAGTGAAAACCAGGGTGGAGACAAACCGGAGATGGCGTGCGGCTAGGGACGGCGACCGGTGGGGTTTTGCATGGTTCGACGTGGAACTGTGAGCAAACAAAAATGAAAAACAACCGAAGAAAGGCCTTGACGGCTTCCTTGCGGCATGGCATGGCTCGGCAACGAGTCGAAGGCGACGGTCGAGCGGTAGAACCGTGGGGCAAAGTCGGCGTGGCGAGCTAGGGCTTCTTGTCAGCGCTGCGTCGCAGGATAGGGCGGTAGAGGCTCGTAGAACGGAAAAGAGAGGGCGGAGGGAGGGCGGCGGCTTATATAGAGGCCTGGGCATGCACTCCACGCGAAAAATCCCGTGGAAAAAGGGCTCCGGTGTGGGATTTGATACCGGCTGAGTCTGACTCGAGCACAGGGGAAGGAGGGTGATGACACTATTGTGCAGGCCCCGTGCGGCAGTGAGAGAGAGGGGTGGAGCCCAGGCGTCAGTGAAATGGAGGGAGAGGTGGCGCGCTCCTACGCTGCTGCACTTTGGGCCGGCCCAGCTGGGCCTCGCGGCTGCTCGGCTGGCTTGGGCAGCTGTGCCCTGGGCCGCGGGATGGAGGCCAAGCCTCGGCAGATTGGGTCAGCAGGCCGAAAGAAACAGAGAGAGGGCAAAATCCTTTTCCTTTTTCTTTTTCTAAAACTGAATTTTCCAAACATATTTTCAATAGCATTTAAATTCAGTTTGAGTTTCAGTTTAAATGCACACATAAAGGCATAATTAAATCAATTTCATCTATTTTGGAAGAATGCAATTTTTAGGGTGTTACAGTTTACACATGCGTCTGTAGCGCAGCCTACTGTAGACGCACCATCGTAAAAGACGTCGCTGGTAAGGATTATTGCAGATGCATCGTTTGTCAGTAACACATGTCTGTAGATAACTCTTCTTAGAGACGTGCGTCCAATAAGGGCGTCAGTAGTATGTTCTTATTACAGACGCGTTTTTTGCGTGTCTGTAGTAAGATCTTATCATAGACGCGTTATTACAGATGCGCCGTCTGTGATGACGTTGAACGTGTGTCTATGATGTGCTTTTTTTAGATAGTGTACCTTGCTCACATCTATAAACATTGTTCTTGGCAGCTACCATATGGCTAGCGTCGTCCCCCTCCCCTCTCCTTGTGGTCTCTGTTATTGGCGATCAATGCCTTTTTTACTCTTTTGGATCTCTTAACCTCTCTATATCATTTAGGTTATATGTTTTTTTAACTTTTTGTTCAACTCCATTCTTTTTCTTGAGGCCATCAACACATGTAAATAAACTTGGACTTACGATTTTATATTCCAAGATTTGATGATATATAAGCTCCGCATGTCCCTAACAACACTAAACCTCCTTATTAGGTGCAGATTGACTTCATCGGAAAGGAGGAAGAAGGAATCCTAAAACGCAAACTCAAACACATAATTGGTTCCGTGTTTGGTGGTGGTCGTGACACGGCGGTAGGAAACATCGATTAGGCGGGGATAGCGGCGAGGCGTTGCGGTGTGAATGCTCTGTGTGGCCCTGTGATTAGGGGATGGTGGGGTCAAGGGGGTGACAGAGTCACCGGTCGCTGGTGCACTACGGGAATCACTCGGCAAAGGGTTTGCCGAGTGTCACACTCGGCAAACGACACTCGGTGAATTTTTATCGGCAAACAGACTTTGCCGAGTGTTTTTTGTCGGACACTCGGCAAAGACTTCGCCGAGTGTCCAAAATACACTCGGCAAACATTTTTTTTGAAAAATAAAAAAAAGCCACCACAAACATTTTTTCAAAAATAAAAAAAAGCCACCACCGGCCGGTCTCCGCCGGCCGCCGTCGGTCTCCTCGGCGGCGCCCTTCCCCTGCGTCTCGCCTCCGCTCCCCGGCTTCACGGCCGTCACCATGAGCCACCACCGGCCACCACCACCACGCCACCGCCGCCCACCACTACCACGCCACCACCCGCCACGCCGGGGAAGAGGGGAAGAGGAGGGAGCGGCCGCCGGATCTGGGGAAGAGAGGGAGAGGAGGGGGCGTTCGGGCCGGATCCGCCGCCGGGGAAGAGAGAGGAGGGGGAGGGGCACCGGCGGTGGGAAGAGAGGGAGAGGAGGGGGCGGCCACACCGGATCCGCCGCCGGGAAGAGAGAGGAGGAGGAGGAGGGGGGGGTGCCGTAGTGGGAAGAGAGGGAGAGGAGGGCGGCAGCACGGATCCGCCGCCGGGAAGAGAGAGAGGGAGAGGAGGGGAGGGGGAGGCGGTGGTGGGAGAGAGAGAGAGGAGGGCGGCAGCGCTGGGCCGGGATCCGCCTCCTGCCGCGCCATCGCCGCGGATCCGCCACGCTGGGGCCAGATCTGGTGGAGGAGGGAGGGAGGTGCGCCGGCGAGGGAGGAGGGGAGGGCGGGCCGCGCCGACGCCGGAGAGGGAGGAGGGGAGAGTGGGGCCACGCCGGGGCCGAGATGGAGGAGGGGGCGGCACGTGCCCGTGCGCGGAGAAGGGGAGCGGGCATGCGGACGCGGCGGGGAGAAGGGGAGAGGGAGAGGAGGACGCGGTGCGGGGTTAAAAAAAGATTTTTTTCGTTTGCCGACTGTCCTAGATCTGGACACTCGGCAAAGATTTTTTTTTCATTTTTTTCTTCTCTTTCTTTCTCAGAAAAAAATATTTTTTTACTTTGCCAAGTGTCCTAGATCTGGGCACTCGGCAAAGTTTTTTTTTTCATTTTTTTCTTCTCTTTCTTTCCTAGATTTTTTTTTACTTTGCCGAGTGTCCTAGATCTGGGCACTCGGCAAAGATTTTTTTTTTATTTTTTTTTCTCTTTCTTTCCCAGAAAAAAATATTTTTTCCTTTGCTGAGTGTAAAAAAAGACACTCGGCAAACCCCATCTTTGCCGAGTGTTTTTTTTTACACTCGGCAAACCACCTCTTTACCGAGTGTTTTTTTTTGCCGAGTGTTTTTATGACAGCACTCGGCAAAGAACTTGTTTGCCGAGTGCCCGAGAGAATACACTCGGCAAACACAAAAACACTTGGCAAATTTGACGTTTGCGGTAGTGGTGGGAGTAGGGGAAGTGCCAGTGGGGTGGGGCGGGGCGGGACGGGACGGGGAGTGTCAGCGATAGAGCCGGTAGGCTGAGGGCGCCAACTCGAAGGAAGATGGGTCGTGCACTCGCTGAATTACGCGATCTGTCGCGCTTAAGTGCATCTATCCTAAAAAAAAGAATTGAAAAAGACGAAGGAGACACTTGATTAACTTCTTTTCTCTCTTTTATATGCTATCAATGGTTTTGCGTGGAAACTAGCGGCGAGGGCGGGGCGTGGTCGATACCGCAGGCAGCGGCAAAACAGGCCAAAATTCGAAAATAGCTTTCCACCACCTTCCGCTTTCGTCACTTCCTCAGGGCTCACGCTTCTCGTTTTCCCGTCCGCAGTCCGCTCCCCACAAAACCCTCAGAAAGCGAACCTCCGATCCCCATTCCCCATTCCCCAACTCCCAGACCCAGCCGCCGCCGCCGCCACCACCACCACTATGGCCGCCGATTTTCCCTGCGACGACGCTGGAATGTGCATGGTCTGCGGCGTGGACGTGGAGTCCGAGGTCGACCTGCTACGCTGCTCCACCTGCGCCACCCCGTGGCACTCCCCTTGCCTCTCGAATCCCCCCGCGCTCTCCAAGGCCGCGACCTGGAGCTGCCCGGACTGCTCCAGAGACCCTGCAGCTGCCCGCGCGGCTCCTGCGGCAGGAGGCGAGCTCGTCGCCGCCATCCGCGAGATCGAGGCCGACACCACCCTCTCCGACGAAGAGAAGGCGCGACGCCGGCAAAATCTTCTGGCTGGCCGATCTGCTGCATCTGCACCCGATTATGTCGACGACAGCGCAGAGGACGACGTCCTCAACATCCTCGGCAAAAGCTTCAGCTGCACCTTCTGCATCAACCTGCTGGATCGCCCCGTCACTGTGAGTTCCTCTCTCTGTCTCCCGTTCTATGCCTCTATCATTCTCGAACCAGATGTGCTTTCCCGATTTATTTTAATTTCCAGTCCGATCCGTCTACTTCTGATCTCTTGCATCCACGGTCTGCGTTCTTCTTCACATGGTTTCTGATATCTGTGGTTTCTGCCCTATGCCACTAACATCTCTTGTTGTTCTATCAATTCTTGTTGTATAGATTCAGGATTCCTACTTCCTCACTTTGTAGTTAGTTCTCTGAGTAGCTTGGGCTCTGTCAGTCGTCATAAGCTGGCATAGCTTCAATGGAGTAATGTTTTAGGTGCTATTATATATGTAGTGATGCAGTCCTTTGCCAGTTTTGACACCACGAGTTATGAACTAACGATTGATCAGTCCTTTGCCAGTTTTGACACCACGAGTTATGAACTAACGATTGATCTAGTTAGATAGTATGTACGGTGATGATCTTGGCCCACATAATAAATAAGCTTTAGCGTGATCGATGCCGCCACAAAACTGCTTTTCCTCTTTTATATCTCACCTTTGAGTTCAACGATTGTGCTTTCACTGTTTGTCGACCTTGCAGTCTTTTCCTATTTTGTTTTTGTGTTTCTTCTATGTGTGCGCTAACATATCTGCGCTAACACCAGGATTTCTACTTGCTAGCATATCTTTGCTTATAATTCTACCAATTCCTGTGGAGCTCATTCTGTATAGCACTTTGCTATATGCTACTCCTATATCATTTGCAATAGTGTGTGACCTTTGTGTTCTTGTGTTGCTCCACGTTGCTTGGGTTCTGGGCTTAAATCCTGAGCTTGGGAGCCAAAGAAACTGTCAGTAGTTCTAATCTGGTATTGCTTCAACAAAATGGCTTGATTTTTAAAGTATACCGTATCTTTGTCTCATTTTTTTCCATATGGCCATCCATTTTTTATATGCTGACTGGATTTCGACGTGATATTTTTTCTTCCTATACCTTCCACAACACTTTAAGTTTGTGTTTACAGCAACAAAAAGCTACATTGTCATGGAGTTGTTTTACCTTTTGTAGTTTGGATGTAATTCGGTAATATTCTATTTCTCCTAGAAATCTGTTAGATATATTTGAATTTGAAGAGTCTGTTTATTTGTAAGACGTACTGTAGGTCCTAGAAATCTGTCTGATATACTTGAATTTGAAGAGTCTGTTTATTTGTAACACTATAGGCTGAAAACACAAACTTTTTATAAATAGAGTAATGATGCTACTTTTAGGGGGTCTCTCTTATGTACAGACGTCATCCTTTGCCATTTTGGGCTCGTAGGCTATGAACTAATGACTGGTGACCTAGTTTCTAATGTAATGCCCCTTGGCGAACCTTATAAAATTGATGCCATCCTAAAAAACAAACCTGTTTTTTTCTTTTTTCATGTTACAGTTCCATAATTGTGCTTTTGTGAGTGTTTGATGACAGTCGCTGATGAACGTAGTATTAGTATAGTTAGATTCCATGTACTGCTCATTATGACCTTGTAGGATTTCCTATCTTGTTCTGTTCATTGTGAGCATGTATGACCATATCAAATGATATGTTGTGAGTCACATTGAGCATTGTATTTTCAGTTGCCACTTACTTCAATATGCAGGTGTAGATCATCAATCGAATGCTAATTAATTGCAAAAATAGGCAAGCACTCCATCTTTCAGATATTCATATACTTGACAACCTTTGTTTACCAATTTTCATAATAATGAGTTGTCATTCCCCTACTTCCGCACCATATTGGCAAACTCTTATTCAGAGTAACATGTACCAATATTTCACCTTGGGATGGATCTATATAATGTTTTGAGTCTGGCTATTTGTTGGTATGCATTTATTGTGCATCGAAATGCTGAAAAATGAAAAATTAGCATGAAACATGAAAATCAGTTGCTGGCACACACACCTAATAGTCATCTAATTGTTTGACGTTTTTTCAGACTTTTTTTTGTCTTTGTTGTTGTTAGCCTCTTAATTAACAAGATGACTGAACATTTTTTATTTTTGGTTTGTGTCTTATTATTATTTTTATTTAAGAAATGTCCTTGTTAGTTTAAATAAATTTTGCCATAAAGCTTGGAAGGAATATTTGTGGGTCCACCATGATATTGTTGATATTGTATATATATTGCTGTACTGTAACTCTTTGTATGTGTCATTGATATGTTGTCATTGAGTCCCCAGAAAACTTTTCTTGTATGCCTAGCCTGTTATCTGACCATCATCTAGCTTCATCCTTGTACCCATGAGATCACAGATAATTTGACTAATATTTTAAGCGAAAAGCTCATAGATAATCAGTGAGTTGTGTTCCTTTCAGTAGAACAAAATAAAATAGGTTCAAGCATTGATTGGGTGATTAAAAAATAATTTTGTTCCTTTTAGTAGATAAAAATAAAGTGAAGGCTACCAATCATTGAAATCTTAGTAAAATGAAAGAACAACAATATTCTGGCATACGTAGAACACCCTAGTGCATTGAATCAAAGTTTTTTTTTTCTGATTGAAGATTAAATCAAAGTGCCAGAGAAGAATGGCGAGAAACAACCATAACAAAGGCATGGCATTGACAAGAAATGGGATCAACAAAAATCAGCCAAAGATGGCATCAAATGCCATGGCCTTTACTTATTATAGTATGCAACAAACTCTGAAGCATGAATTGCTTCTAAATGTAGCCTCTCAATACACTTAAATTATGTTGGTCTAGACGCATAAATGTTTCAACAATTTTATGACCTTCACAGCTAGCTTCTTCTTATGACAGTAGCCTATCTAATCATTCAAGTTTGCAATGGAGAAATACTAAATTTACAATATAACAAATGAAGAGCACTAATTAATACTAATTAGAATGTATGGAACTGAACTAATTACCAAACCATCAATTCGGGTATCTCTGAGATTCAGTTGGATTTAACTAGCAGGACACTGACTAATATTTAGTAACGGCTACTGGTTCCTTTAGCAATTACAATAGATCAGGTAATGTTGCTCATAATTAAGAAAAGAAACAGACACAACTTCTACTATTGGAAAACCAAGAAATTTTTTTCATGTAGCAATTGGCATGCATGTAGGAACAAGCAGATCTAGTGAAATTGAAACAGGAGAGGGCTGAAATCCGCAGGTGCAAGAGATAGTACCTGCTTAGGTAGGAGGACGCAGCAGCGGTTTGAGAGGGGCTAGGGATTTGGGCTCATCTTGACTGCTATCATGTGGTGCTGCTGGCTGCATGGGGACGCAGCCACCTCTCCTCATGTGGAGAGCGTTGAGGCGGGGGCCAGGGCCGCTTGCCATCATTGAGGAGATGAAGATGGGGATGCCCTCGCCGTTGCTGAGGGGATGATGAGGATGAGGACACCATGCATCCACAATACAGGGCAGCAAGCTCCCGTAGAGCTGGGTTTGCTAGCTTTGTCACTTGACTGCCTCACGAGGGAGGGACGGAGAGGTGGTGTCTAGGGCAGCAGTGGCAGCAGCCACGGCAAGAGAGGACGGGGACACAGGGGCTTCTGCACTGCGCAAGAGATCCTGGTGGAACAGGCTAGGAGGTGGAGGGAGGAGGCTGGCTGCCTGGCGCACCGTCCAGTGCGTTGCACTTGACAGGCACCATCGCCGCTGCATGGAGCACCAACTTGATGGCTGACTCACCCCCAGCAACGGCCTTCGAAGTTCCAACATATTTTGCTAATCCTGTAGGATGAATAGGGTGTGGGGACCGGGTGCCAGGGGCACTGGGACGGCAAGGTGGGGTGCCGACCGGGCAGAGCAGGGAGGGGCGGGGGACGGTGTGAGAGTGGGGCATGACGGCAGGGTGGCACAATGGCATGGCAGAGCATGCACAACGGTGGGGTAGGGCAGCAACGCGGAGGAGCTCTGGGTGGCGCAATTTTATTTTCTTTTTTTGTTTTAGATAGAGGGCTGCTGAGCAATAGAAACATGATGGGGGCAGTAGTGGAGTGGAGCAAAATGCATAGGAGAGAGCGGGGAATGCCTCCTACTTTTTAAGTTGGAGAGAATTGCACTAGACTATGATCAATGTTCATTGTATGTGCACTCAATAAGGATTTGAGCCTGGTGGCGCTGCGGCGTGGCAAAGTGGGATGGTGGCTGGTTGGGATGGGGAGGGCAAGTTGGCAGTGCATAGGGGCTGTAGAGGTCACTATTTTTTTTTGTTTTTGGTTTTAGATGGAGGGCTGGCGAGAGGTATAATGTCATGGGGCCGTGGCAGAGGGGGAGAAATGCAGAGAAGCGAGCGAGGAACGCCTCCTACTTCTTAAGTAGGAGAGAAGAGAATTGCTCTAGACCACGATCAATGGATATTGTATTTGCAATTTCAACAATGACATAAGTAGAAATTTCTGCCAATTCTATTATATGTTCAGTAATGGTTCAGCATGTTTTTATTTTCATTAGATTAATCAAGCAACCACCTATGATTCACACCTTATTGTGCAATAGACTTGTGTATACTACAAGTCCACAGAGATCTCAACTCTATATTGCTCCTTGTAGAAAACTCTATATTATGTTGACACTGTGTCAAACCCTTAGAGTTTTTTACCTTTAAGTTGTGACATAATCTAAAAGTTGAAGTTCAGCGGTTCATGGGGAAATGAGCTAATATGGATTTTTGCTAAAGTTAGCATTGTCAAGTTTTTTTTGTAACATGTTAGATTAGTTAGAAATAAGTTTTGTTTCAACTGGTCTTTATGCAAAGTTGTGTTCGGAATTTGCAGCCATGCTTTTTTCTCAATGACATGTTTGACCTTTTGTTCAAACATGTATATTGTTTCTTTGTGTATTTTTCTTCGGGTAGCCATAATCCTCTGTTCCATTTTTCACAATCATCCGTTAAACATTCATTTCATACCATAAGTAATACACCTTTTATTTTTCAGACACCATGTGGCCACAATTTTTGCCTGAAGTGCTTCAACGGATGGACACGTAAGGGAAAAAGGGCGTGTGCAAAATGTCGTAAACCGATCCCATCCAAAATGGTGGAACAACCTAGAATCAACTCTAAAATGGATGAAGTGATCCGTAAGGCCAGGATGTCAAAGACTACTAATTCAACTGGCTCAGTAGACTTGCATCGCCATTACATACAGAATGTTGATAAGCCCGACAGGGCATATACAACTGACAAGGCCAAGCGAGCTGGAAAAGCAAATGCTTCAAGCGGCAAGATTTTTGTGACAACTGCACAAGATCATTTTGGACCCATCCTTCCCGAACATGACCCCATGAGGGAAACTGGTGTCCGAGTTGGAGAAACATGGGCAGATAGATTTGAATGTAGACAATGGGGTGCTCATTTGCCTCACATAGCTGGAATTGCTGGGCAGAGCAGAAATGGTGCTCAGTCAGTTGCCCTATCTGGAGGCTATGAAGATGATGAAGACAACGGAGATTGGTTTCTTTATACTGGAAGGTTTGATAATTTGACTACAAATCCTCTTCTACTGTTTTGTTTTGTCTAGTCACATATATTAAAATGTGCATAAAATAACAATTTATACTAATGCAGTGGCGGGAGGGATCTAAGTGGAAACAAGAGAACAAATAAGGAGCAAGGTTTCGATCAAACATTTGTGAATATGAATGAGGCTCTCCGAAAAAGCTGCTTGAAGGGTTACCCTATTCGGGTTGTGCGGTACGTATGTTTATTTTCTTTGGGCATGCATATGCATATATCCTTGAAACTAGAATAATGTTCATCAAGTAGCTTAGGTGATACTGCATGGTCTACTGATGCTGTATTTGTTTGAATATTATTGACTTTCCTGGTGTACATATGATTATAGGGCCATTTCTCGGTTTTATGAACTGTCTAATATTGAGATAATTTGCTATCCGCTGCTATCTTTGAACTTTTGTCTCATTATTACATTCTCTTGATAGGTCCCATAAAGAGAAACACTCTTTGTATGCTCCTAAATTGGGTGTGAGGTATGATGGAATTTACAGAATTGAGAAATGTTGGAGGAAGATTGGTATTCAGGTAACTTGATTCTCACGTGTAATGCATATATATAGCCCCATGCTTTCGTAGGGCTGTATGCATCGAATGATGCTAAGGGACGTAAAAGTGTCCTTTTTCTAAAAGAAAAGATTCTGGTACCTTCCAGCTAACAAATTAATCGTGCTTATGAAAAAGTTTTAATTGTGCTTCTGCCTTTTCCATAGGGGAAGTTCAAAGTCTGCAGGTATCTCTTTGTACGCTGTGACAATGAACCAGCACCTTGGACCAGGTTTGACAAAAGACTTGCTTTTTTTTTCCTTCGACTATTAGACTGTAGTACTGTACCATAACTTTTAGAGAGAAAAACTATACATAGTCCTGGCTGACACAATAGGCTTTGATTGTCAGTGATGGTCATGGTGACCGTCCAAGGCCATTGCCCGACATTCCGGAGTTAGAAGGTGCAACTGATATAACTGAGAGAGATGAGCAACCTTCATGGGGCTACGATGTATGTACATCATCTGTTCCTAGCTTCTTGCAGTATCACTGAACTGTTATTTGACTAGTTTATATTCACTGCTACAGGAGAACAAAGGCTGCTGGAAATGGATGAAAGAGCCTCCAACGAGAAGGAAGGCTGGCAAACAAGTCCGGAGAAGAGCAAGGAGTGATAAGATGTCTAACGCTAAAAGACTCCTGAAAGGTTATCTTCTCTTCTCTTCTATTCATTTTTTTTTGCAGCACGAATTTTGCTAGATTGTGTTTGTATAGCTTGATTGAATTCAAAGTACTGCATGCTGAGTGTTGTACAATAATTAATTGTTTTTCTATTTTTGCTGCCTTCTCCTGCAGAGTTTAGCTGTTCTATCTGCTACAAAGTGATGACAGAACCACTCTCAGCTCCCTGTGGTGACAACTTCTGCAAGACTTGTCTGCTGGGGGCATATGATAACCAGTCCTCCGTGAGAGAAAGAAGCAGCGGTGGTCGTAGTCTGAGGGCTCAGAAGATCGTCAAGAGATGCCCATCCTGTGGAACTGACATCAGCGACTTCCTAGCAGATCCACAGGTGCAATCTATCGAAACATATGTCTGTCACAAAGTGTGATAGATCAAGCTTGTAGAGTCCCTAACATAAGCTTGGCGATATTTATTTTTACTTTCAGATCAACCGAGACATAATGGATGTGATTGAGTCTCTGCAACTGAAAGTAGAAGAAGGTAACACCACCAAGGAGGTTCCATATGGTGGTGGTGACACGGATGAGGAATTCCAAGATGATGACCAAGAGGAAGATGATGGCGATGGTATGGAGATGGATGAAGCTGGTTGCAGCTTTAATGTCGAAGAGGGAGACAATGCTGAGGATCATAAGGATAACCCAGCTGATATGAATGATGTTGCTTGTGGCAAGATTGCGGTTGGAATCAAAGAGGAAGGCCAGCAGCCCGGCCAGAAGCGCAAGGATGACACTGACGTTGGCACTGATGGTCGTCCTAATAAAAGGATGACAACCAGTGCTGGCGTGGAACAACAGAACAGTAAGGGCGATGAGGCAGACGTGTAAAACCGACGGCGATCATGTTGCGCGCAGCTGTTGCAGGGAAACATACTTAGAGCAGTGCAGATGCTAGTGAAGCTGATGGTGATTGCGGAAGACTGTATGTAGAAAGAGGTGGTGGAGGTGCAGGGATGCTGATGGCTTGGAAACACAAAGTCAGCATGTTGTTGTAGGCTCTGCGTTTTAGACATTGTATGTATGTCGACTGAGAGGTTTGGACTGTTTTCGTTGATTGTGTACTCTTGTTGGGAACCAGATTGCGTAAACATGGTTTGCGGAAAACTTGTTGGAATACCTGTACTGTGGTTTATTCTATCGAAGATGTTTAAACTATTTTAAGTTACTAGTAGACAGGTACTTGCGTGACACACATGTTTATGGCTGTGATCGGTAACGTCCTCTATTTAGATGTGTGCTAGGGCTGTATCTAAAGAAAAATGCAATATTCTTAGCTTATGTCAAATTGAGATAATAACTTTTAACTTTCATCCAGCAAAAATACAATACTTTTAACGTTTCCTACAAAACACAATGAATAAGAACCATAACCGTGAAAGGAAAATAAATTGGCAAATTTACTATCTAGCCAATCCATGGTCAGAATTTAGCAAATCAAATTCTACGATGTTACAGATATATCTGTTCACATGTATTAATACTGGAGCCAACTTCAACTAATAACAAACACTATTAAAATTAAAACGTGGTCTAATGATTTATTGTATTGTGTTGTATTAAACAACATGCACATAAATGTATATGTAAACTAAACTATAGGATTAAGGAAAAACCATGGAAGTATAGGATTAAGGGAAAACCATGGAAGTTTGTCGCTGCTGTGGTTTGGTTTTGAAAGGGACCGTGACGCCTAAGAGGGAGGTGAATTAGGCAACTTAAAACTCTAACTCTAAACTATGGTCTCTTTTTCTATCCTTAGCAAAAACCTATGTAAAAGATAAACTATCTAAATGTGCAACTACGGTTTTACTAGTGTGTTGCTATCTCTACCGCAAAAAGGAGTTATGCAACCTAGGTTCTAAACCTATCAACTAGCCTATCACTAAGCTAGGAAAGTAAAGCACAAACCAATATTGCAATGTAAATGCGGAAGCTAAAGAGTAAGGTAGAGATATACAAACTCCTCGTTGACGACTCCAGTATTTTTACCGAGGTATCGAGAAGCGCGCAAGCTGTAACAGAACCGCCCAATTTATACAAGATCAACTACGGCTGTCCCCGCTAACACGTTGACAGCGCATACTTTCACTCATATAAACCCGATAGTCCGCCGAGTGTCCCGAAAGACCACGGTAAATCAACATCACAACCAAGATCGCGGGATTAAGCAAATACACATCACATACACAGGGTTGCAGCGAAAATAATATTAGATATGGGTTCACAAATAAAAGTACAAGTTTGGGTTTCAAAACTGCTTAGTGAAAACAACATAGCTTTCAAATGATTACATTAATATAAGTTCCAAATATATTGCTAGCATAAGTGACATCATCCTACAAAAGCATATAGATGAGAAGTAACTATAGAATCACTGAGCCCATCGGCGGTTAGCCACCATCTTCAACAGGCCGAGAACTCCACCTGCAACATGGTGGGATAAACCCTGAGTACTCGAATATACTCAGCCAGACTTACCCGTCGGAAACCAAAACAAATGACACCAAGGATCATGCATAGCTTAATTTAGTGGATCCGGCTGGACAACCTTTTTGCATAAAAGCTTGAGTAACCATTAGCATTATTCACCTGTACTAGCAGTGACTTTTAGCCATTAACTACCATCTATATTAGCACCTGTACTAATCAATCACTTGATTAAGTTGCAAACAATAATAACCATATCAGGTATTTCATGGCTCATTGTCATTATCATCATCATCATCATCATCATTTAACCATATCTTTAAATTTAGTGAATCTATGTTGCATTTTCACCAAGTTCTCACTATCCGGAAGAGACGGCGATTCAATCGATTCCTATCCAAACGGAGGGTATTCCTAAACACAAACCCCGCTTCCCCGTCCGGTCGCAAATGAGTCACCTTTGGTACGATTCAGGAGTCGCGAGTCCGAACAGATCGACATTCTCAGAGAACCACTCTGCCAAGGTTGTTCGGGACTCTAACCTGCCTTGGACTTATGCCAATGGCTCTCCGCATATCCTTACTACCTCCAGAATGCACGTCACTGCTCGTGTCCCTAGCCTGAGTTGAGCTACTAGGCTTCGTGGTCGGAACGACTTATCCGGCCAGCTAAGTGTTAGGCTGTGTTCAACATGACATGAGGACGTCTGAACAGATCGGTCCTTAAACGACACACAGACGGGGATAGATTCACACCCAAGACCTCCATGCCTTGTTGTTTTACCATCATCCCGTCCGGTCTCCTTTCATTATTAACACATGGTTCTTTTTCATGATAGCAAATATAGCCAACCGTGACCAGAGCTCATCCTACATCTCGTAGGTGACAGGAAATCACCCGACTTCTACCGATCTATGCATAGCTAAGCATCATTCGATCCTACACTTAATTAGGATTCACCAGATTTTATCTGGACAAGGTAAGGATATAATGCAACAATTGGTTCCAACCAATTCCTTTACTTAATGCATCATCAACAATAAAAGATACTCAAGATATTTGTAAAAACATGGGAGGCTTAGAATGCTCCGGGGCTTGCCTGGGATCCGACACAAGTCAGTTCAGTTAGCTTGCACCGTCCTGGTGACATCTCCGGTCCTAGCACTCGCTTAGTCCTTCCATCTTCGGGATAGATCCTCCATACACCGTCTTCGGGTTCGGCTCCAACATCACATCCTTTCCGTGATGCATCTAGCGTACCTAGATGAGGTGCAAGATGCAAGTGTATGAATACATGGAAGTGCAATAGACAATGCGTCGCATGCAGTAAGTAAGACAAGCACAAGGTTACATTAACATGCACAAGCACTTCGCATTGCTTACTTTAAATATCGCACAATTTATCATGCCATGATAGCAAAGAAGACGATAACACCAAGCATGACACAAGTTTTACAAGGTCACAAGTATCATAACTTGACCATCAACAAGGGCATAAGCCACACTTAGCAACACATGGAGTAAACAACCACAACTAACATATGTCTATTTCTGGACTGGAAACAACAGCTTCATGATCAGATCATAACTAGAGTTATACAAATCCAATAGCCATGCAACAAGACATTCTGGAAAGCTTATGGAATTTTCTACAATTCATGTTTAATCATATTATCATGATTCTCAAGTTAACTAAGTCAAATATACCTATTTACAGAAACTGGTCCACAATTGACAGAGAGCAGCCATTTCTGGAATCCAATTTTAAACAGGCATAACTCACAAACCACAAGGCCAAATACCACCAAATTTTAACAGCAGCTAGATACATGAATTATCTATAACTTTGTTATTAGCACCAAAAGCTTATTCAAATCCTAACTAGATCAAACACTAGCATCTTTCAGCTCTGCTCAAAATACAATACAATCCTGACAGAAGACTTAAAAGTCATGTAACTCCTACACTATCAGGCCTATGGCCTTAAAATTTGAACACAAGCAAGATCATGAAATTTGATACAACTTTTGTATTCACTACAACCATAGCAAACATCATTTACACCACGAAAATAATTGCACAAGCAAAACTGGAAATGCAGCCCAACAGCAGTGGTACAGAAAACTAATAGGAACTTCAGAGAAGCATAACTGAAGTTCTAGACCTCCAACAAACAAACATGAACCATAACTTTTTGAAAATATTAGGAAGTTACCTACAACTTTTTTATTCTCATATTAAGATGATTCTATAGTTAGAAGGGTCAATTAATTCAATAATTGCATCTCTGTCCAAAACATAGACAGAAACTGACATGCCACTTTAAACAGCTATAACTGGAGTTATACATGTCCAATAAATATGGTTCTAGGCTTTTTAGAACTTTTATCAAATTCTAAACAACTTTGTTGTAAACACCTAAAGCTAATTCTACTATTAAGAAGGCCCCACAATACCAACAAGGTAACCCTATCAGAGTTTGGGCAGAAACAGCTACTGATATATAAGCAAATATAACTCAAGATCTACTTAACCAAAAATCATGATATTTAGCTTTTTCAAAAGCTTAATAAAAATACTACAACTCATGTATTATCACAAAGTCATGATTCATAACCTAACTAAGCCAATTAATTTAATCTTGCAGGCCTATTCAGAATAGGGGTAAGGCAATACAGGTAATTTGTTATTTTTATAGATCTTAAACTATCAAGCCTAAAATACTGAAATTTTTACCAGACATCACTAATCACATCAGTAACACTCCATAAAAAATTCACATTTATTTGAGTAAAATAACTGCAGTTATAAAAAGGACAAGTCATGACTAGCATTAAGAACCTAACTGCCTAAATCTATTTTACAAAGAAACTATTTAAACTTAAACATGTAATATTATAGAGAATTTTACAAGTATTCCAAAAGTCCTCATTTACTATTTTACGAGTTTTCTACAAATTACTACTGAATTTTCAAAGTGGAGCATTCAAATCAGTAAAACCAGAGAAAAAGGGATTGAAATCTTGCATCGGGGTCCTCATGGAAAACACAAATTAAACACGAACAAATGGATCTTTTTAGGCACTGTTCACTGGAGTCACTAGTTCTTCACATAACCCCCTAGAAAAGCTCATATTCATGCGCGTGGTCCTTCTTCTCCTTCCTCCCGACGGTGGAGCAGAGGAGGGCCGGCTCGCGGCTCCGGCCGGCTATGGGCGTCGACGACGGTGGTGGAGTGGCGGGGAAGCACCAGGGTGTCCCCTCGCAACCGTGTGTGCACTCAAACTTGCCGGAGGTGGCCCACGATGGCCTGGCCATGCGTGTGCACGGACCATCCACAGCGTCCGTGTGGGCGACGGTGCTCTGGCGGGTTGCGCAGCTGGAGAGGGGCGTAGAAAGGG